GCACTCTACGACAAGCGTCCCAAGGCCGAACGATTGCAGCGCCGAGCACCCATAACGCCGAGCACTTGTCGCCGAGGGCCTGTGAGCCGGGCACCCAAGGGTGTCGAGCACTCGCGCCGCACACTCCCATGCCGTGCACTCTAGGCCGAGCGGTTGCTGAGATGCCGAGCACTTGTGGAGGACACCGACCACATCATGGTGCCGGGTGCACCCTCGTCGAGCCAAGCACTCTCATGCCGAGTGCCGCCACGCCGGGCACTCCCACGCCGAGTGCCCCGGTGCTGAGGGCCGCTCACTAATCGCCGAACCCGCGCCGGGCCACATGGTACCTCGTCAAGGTGCCCATCTAACATCCTCCATTACCTCCACAATATGCATACTCCTCCTACCCCTCATGGTTGCCTTTTGCTTTTCTCACCTAACTCTTCTCTTCCTCCATCATCCCATCACATGCAACACCAACTACCATATGTCACACTCATCACATGCCTACCTTGAAAACCTCACTTGGCTTCCTCCACAAGTCTCACTCTCCACCATTGATTAATGTTCAAAATCAAGGGTCAAGATCAATCAAGACCAATCCAAACCCTAGCCCCCCATCTATAAATACCTCTCTTCCATTCTCCCATCCATTAATTTTCATCTCACAAAATGTCTCTCCTACATAATTTCTCTTTCTACGGAATAGAATACTCAATTTTTAATTGAAATCCGGCGGCCACTCTCCAACGAGATCGTACTTCCAACGAACCCATCTAGTCCCGCCTACTACATCAAGCACACGGTCCCTCCGCCGAGCTCGCACCACCATCGACCCCGCGTCGAGCACACGCCCCTCTCCCGTCGGAACTACGCCCAACTTGATTATGGTGAGCACTCCGGATCGCCGAGCGAGCTGAACACGCACCGAGTACCACTCGACCCCAACAGGCACTCCCTTCCGACGAGCATTCACCCATTCGCACCCCATGGCCGCATCGGCGAGCTTTATGGGTACGCTCTCTTCTCGTAAACACTTTATTTTGTTGAAATTACCCTTGTAATGCACCCCTCTTATTGTATTTGTACTTGTTTGTTGTTGTTGTTGTTTTTTTTATTTATTGTCATACT